AATTTTGAAATTATTAAGGCCCAATAAAATCCAATCATGCTTATCCGTTGGGGCCTGACATGATTATTTTATTGATAGGCCCACAATGCGCCTGGAGGTTAAATTAATTTCTTAATTTAAATCTCCTCCCATAGATATTTAAGTCCAATCTAATAAAATCCAATCATGCTTATTCGATGGGACTTCACATGATTATTTTATTAATGGTCCTATAATACGCTTGAAGGTTAAATTAATCTCTTAATTTAAATCTCCTTCCATTCAACATAAGCAACATTTTCTAACTTCCAAGAATTATTTAATTGAGAGTATCCTTTGTTCGATTTCAAAAACTATATAAGTAAGAGCACCGATAAACGTGCACTAAGCTTAACATAATTTTGAAAGCATTAAGGTCCTGAAATCCGGTCACTTTACGTCAGCGTGTGCTCCAAACAATCAAGATACATGAATGTTGTATGCAGCGTGTGTTATTCCATGACCATTTCAGAAAAACCCACAAATTACTCGCAAAATAAAAGAATTCTCTCAGAAAATTTTCTCTAATTATTTTTCTAGATTTAAATCATCCAAATAGCTGACTTAATTATTAATCTAGATTGCAACAATCATAATAATTATCATTTATGAGGATAATTTGAAATCAAAATAATTTCCATAACGATTATTTGTCTTGATGTTAATAATCCAAAATTAATTAATTCAATTATTAATCTAGATTTTTAATAAAAATCATAATAATTATTAATTAATTTCTTAGGATGATTTAAAATCAAAATAATCCTATAATAACTATCATACTAGTCGCTGAAGACATAATAGCTATTATGATCATGCAATCATACAAGTTATGCAACAATATGGCACCACCTATTCTATATGGCATGTTATCGCAATAAAGCATGTTATCTATCATATAATTTATACCAATCAATAAAAGCATTAAATAATAAATCATAATTACTTTAATCCATGGCCTTCCTATTTTAAAGAAAATAAAATGAAATTAAATTAAATAATACAACTTTGGAATTCAACTTTCGCCTAGCCCATAGTATCTATCTCAAGCCCCTTTAGGGTTTCATGGGCCCAAAAGCCCAAAGACCCAATCCTTTGGCGAGAAACCCTAGGACGCGAAAGAGGAACCCTAGCCGTCAGGTCTGTCGCGCCGTCACCCGAAGTCAAATCAGGCTGAAACTCCAGGGGAAGGACCGCCACGTAGAGACGAGTGCACCGCCGCCGGAACCACCCAAAAAGGTGGCCGGACGCTCTCTCACTCTCCCATTCTTTGCCGGAGAGTGGCGGCCACTCTCAGAATCTTGTGGAGGAGCGTGGAGGAGCGTGTAAACTCAGATGGCGGTGTGCCACCCACCGTTGCGTTCGTATTTCCGTCCTCTTTCCAACCATATATAGATCGCCCCATTCCGAGATTGGTAAGTTCTCGAAAAGTCTCCGACAGTGCTGACTGCGCATCTTCCTCGCGATTTCTCGATCTTGAACTTTTACAAAATATTGAAAAAATACACAGAAATTCCAAAAATAAACAAAACCAACAAGGAGGAAACCTAATCATATGGGATTAGCCTCCTTGTTACAAATCGAGAAATACATGAGAGACCCTAACCATGGATTAAAGCATTTTTACCGATTAAAATTTAAACTTTTATGAAAATGAATTATAAAATACACATGCTAGATTCATACCATAATCCTAGAACCCTAGGTGCCACATTTCAAGAAGCAAAACTAATTACATGAATAGTGAAACTAGATTCACATACCAATGTACAGCCAAGGCTCTGATACCAATTGAAGGAAATCTTAGATTTATGCGGAAGCGATTTAGGACCTAGTACATTGGTATGCTTACCGAATCATCATTGTTTCACAATTACCTCTCGGTGCGCAGGTCTCGTGTAGAATCTTCCCTTGTAGGATTCCTCTTCACGAACAGCTCACCTCAGCGCCGCAGCACGAACAACCTCCTTGAAGCTGGACTGTGGCAGATCTTCCAAACTATCTCTCGAGGAGGAAGGGGAAGTGTGTGGGCACTGATTAGATTCTGAGCTTGCCTCTTTCTCACAAAAAAGACCTAGGAGGCTGATGACTTAAGAGGTACTATTTATATGGGTTCCAAGAAACCCTAGCTCATTGGGCTCTAGGTTCCTTGGGCTCTTCTCATACTAATAACCCATTTGGGCTTTAGTAAAAGAGCAAACCCAACAAAAGCACCTGAAAGGTCTATTTATGATTAGAATTCCAGCAAAGGAACAGTATCAATAAAATTTCAATTGCACAGAAGCCATGATCAAGCACAAAAAGTGACTGAAAATGATAGACCATTTTTCTGATCTAACACATATACCACCCTACTTCCTGAATGCATGCATCATTCAAATTCATGATAGGAATAATGATATCTTTGAAAGTAGACAAAATAAATCGTTAACTTTTAAGAGATTACTTAACATAGAAAAGAGAGATGTTGTATTAATCAATAGAGAGGAGATGAAAAGAGAATTACACAATAGTAATCCTTTAAATTGTAGGTTATGGACTATAAATTGTTCTGTCATCTTAGAACGTTACATGTTTCCCTGAAACTATTGTGTCTGTTTTAGTTTGATTCGGAGATCGATGAGATAGTATTAAATTGAAGTATTTATTAAATTGAAAAGGGATGTTGAACTGTTAAAATTTGTCCTTGGATGAAGTGGAGATCAAGCTTTGCCCACACTCTGAATTATGATTAGTGTCAGACATAGGATGTAAGGTTTAAATAATATGAGTTTGCTTGGTCCCTACTGATAATCAATCACCTCCCTACACAAGTCTGATGATAGTTTGATAGAAAATTTATTTCCTTCATTTTTTTAATGAATCAGACTAGGACAAGATAAGGATTATCACCCTAAGACACATGACCCCGACCCTATAACTTATTTTGCTCAGATTTTCGAAATGTTTTCCCCTTATAATGGATTTATCCTTTCTAGACCATACATAGCATCAGTGTTTAAAAACCGACCCGATCATCGACCCGGCCAAGGTCATGAGTCATGGAGTCACGGGTTCAACCAGGGGGTCATGGGGTCACTATGCTGACCCGGTTTTATATATTAAAAAATATAAATATATATATCATATATAAAAATATTAAAAAAACAAACCACCAATCATCAAAGATTCAAAATATACATAACATAATTCACTAATTACAACCACAAGTTAATATTATACAACCTAATTAAAGTATCAAGATACCAAAGTATAAAACTCATATTCTAATAGGATCAATACGTTGACCCGATTCTGCCTCTTTGGAGAAGGTCCCTGACAAAGGAAAATTTAAAGGAAGTAAGAATGAGTTTTTGTTTTCCATCGACGACCGTAAGGATTTCATTTGAATAGATAAAATTCTTACCTTTTCTAGAAGATTCACGTCTGCGAGGTGTGAAGATTGAAGACATATAGGTCGTTGGGAGAGAAGAGAACGATTAGATTTAGGTTTGCAAGCATTTTTGTTTTATTTTTTTAATAAAACGAAGTTGTTTTGTGGAGTTTTTTTTTAAAAAAAAAACATGCAGTGACCCCCTTTGACCCCTCTGACCCGGGAGTCACTGAAACCCGGCCGGGTTTTGGGAGTCGGAGGAGTCGATGTGCGTATATGGTTCAACTTGTGACCCGAACCATCAGAGGGGAGGGGTCAGGGTTGACCCGGGTCAACCCGGAGGCGGGGTAGGGTTTTAAAACACTGTATAGCATGTGCTAATTGACCCTCGTTAGCGGCCATACCTTTCATACTTATAGTAAGCATCTAAATCTCAGTATACTGAAGCAAACAAAAAGAGTACATATATCTGTGTCTAGTCCATGGTCGAGAACCTTTAAATACGAAGATAGACAGGGCAATTTTGTAAAATAACGGAACGCAGGTTACATTTTTTATTCGTCATTAAATGCTTGCAAGAGGTAAAAAGAAGTTATAAACATGACATGTCTCTAAAATCGAAACTATATGACTATGCTAATCTTTCATTTTTATTTTCTTTCTTTGATGGAAGCTCATAGAATGTGTCCGCTTTCTTAGTAAAGCAAGAGGGGGGCCAAACCGCCAGAGTCTGTACTACGCATTAATCTACATGTGCGTTAGGTGAGCGCCATCAAAATGCCACCCTTGGATCAAGGGAAATTTTTTTTATATATTCTTGAAAATATTGCACCCACGTCATATAGAATAATACTGAGTCTTGAGTGATACAAAATTGGAAAAACCTTTTTGAAAGCTAAAACAAAGGAAGAAATGCAGCACAATCACTTTGCATTTGGTCTCGTGTTGTGACCTGATCATGTTGTGTTGTTAACTATTTAAAGCAAAACTAGTCGCTATACGCTGTAATGTACAGCTTATATATGCTGAAAGTGCACTTGAGATTGCTCATTGCTTGCCCATATATAAGTGTTCTAGACTTGAATGCAGAATGCTCATACTTCACATGATGCGGGCCTAGATAGTTAGTTGAACGAAGACAAGCCAACCCACTTTTTCCCTGAAATCAGCAACAACCATAAAGGAAGAGAAAGTAGATTTAAAAAGCACCTAATATAGTCCACCTTCCAGCTCAACCTGACATCTCCCAATTCTACTCTTCAGCTGTAAGAATGAGACAGTACACACTATTGCCCTCTTTTGAAGAATCGATGGAAGCAAATTCTTATGGAAAGCTTCACCTTTATTTTTATACCATATATGCATAAAAAAAAACCCCTCTGCCCCTCACATATATATTTTATATAGGTAAGTGTAGTTAAGATGCATGAAGAAGCCACAATTTATGTGAGGAAAAGAAATAGAATCATGTCAATTAATTAAACTGCCCTGTACACTCATCTCATTTTGCTTTGTCTTGTTATCAATCAGAATACCCATAGTACCTTTACAATTCCAATATTGCACTAACGTTAATTATTGGTAAACTAATCAATCAAAATATCTAACATGATCTAAGTCCTCAAATATAGTAATTAATATATTTTTTCTAATCTTCAATTCATGATTGATTCCTTAGTGGGGTGGTAGCCTGCTGCTGAGGAAGACGAATAAGCAAGTGATGAGGAATGGGAATTGGATTGGAGGAGCAACAACTGAGCAGGGGTAACTGAGGAAGATGAATAGGACGAAGTTTCGGTTCTTTTGAGCTTGTGGGGCTCAGCCCCTGCTGGAGGATCGTGTCGAATTTCTCTTAATAATGCAGCGACATCTTTCATTGTCGGTCGATCCTCTGCACGATTACTTGTGCACAAGAGAGATATACCAAGTGCTTGTAGCATCTCTTGTATTTGTGTGTCTGGATGACTTTGAAGCTTAGCATCCAGAATCTCAATTGGATCCTTCTTGCTCTTTAAGTGATCTCTGACCCATTGAATAACATGTTGTCCATCTGGGAATGATGGATCCACTGGCCTTTTCCCCGTTATTATCTCTAGTAGGACCACCCCAAAGCTGTATACATCGCTCTTCTCTGTGATTTTAAGCATGCAAGCATACTCTGCAAAATTCCAAACCGAACAAAGATTATACTCACATGCATATATTACGAAGACAGAGAGGTCAGTGACATTTATTGTCTGTACAGTAGCTGTAAAAGGATTATATACTCAGATTAGGATGGCCGTATATGTGTGACTCATGATGATTTGGCTTTTGTGCGGGGACTATCGTGTCTTTATGCTTGTCCAAAGTGAAAGATTATGTGTAATTATCATGCATCATGCAGGTAATTTGTGGGTTCTGTGACCAAAATGTCACGTTTTATCGAAAATTTTATCCAAATGTCACGTGAAGAGTAATTTTTACCAGACTGACACATGTCATAATTTGCTACAGCTAGTAGCGAATTTCGTGGCTGGCCATATTGCAGACCAAATTTGTTATCACTTGTAACGAATTATGACACGTTAGCTTTTTCATGTGAAAGTGTGCCCGGTGTTATAAAATCATTGGCAAACATAATTTGCTACCTGTCGTAGCGAATTATGCTTACATGCCAATATGGTAAAAATAGTGTTCGCTTGATATTTGAATAAATTTTTTTTGTCAAAAAAAGATAACATTTTGGTTACTGTTCGTAATTTGTGTCGTCAAGTACGTGAAATGTACACACAATGAATCCAAAAACCAAAAAGCAACAAACCAAACGGCATAAAAAAGATGGCCGTACGGTCCCCAATTCCCACTCACTCCATATGGTCCATCAATAATATTCATATGGAAAAACTGCCAATCAACCAGCCTAACTCTAGCTATAATTCCATTCCTTTATAGATCATAGATTCATGAATTGCCTATATATCAAATTTCTCTATAATACAAAAACAAAACAAAAACTATTCAATTTTCTTTATCCAGAGTCTTTACCTTGGTCCAAACAAGATTTTTTACTCTGAAATACAAACGCTCTTGTAATTTAGCCAGGATTTAGTAATTACAACACAAATGAATTATTAGATGGACTAATTTCATGATTATACTAAGCTCCAAACTTGTTACATAGGCCAATTAATAAAAATGACATACTAGTTCATCAATCGCAGACACAATCTAAGTTTAGAAATGGTAATAATATTTGTTTACGTGAATCATTTATTCTTCTGTCTTGGTTTTTATTTATTTATTTACTAAAAAAAAGGAAAAGGAAAAGAAAATTGACTTACCGGGAGCAATGTAGCCGTAAGAACCGGCGAACTGTGGATTAACGGAAAAGGAAGCGTGATCTTCTTCGACGAAGCGAGCGAATCCAAAATCAGCCAAACAGGGTTCATATCTGTCTCCTAACAGAATGTTCTGCGCCTTGACGTCCCGGTGCAAGATAGCAGGCACGCAATCGTGGTGCAAGTAAGCCACACCCTCAGCCACGCCCAGTGCTATCTTGAGCCGCGTCTCCCACTCGATTAATCCTGTGCACCCCTCGTGTAACAGCGTATCCAAATTACCGTTCGGTAAATAATCATAGAACAGTAACTTCGTTCTCCGGTTCGCACCCCAACCCAATAACCGCACGATATTCCGGTGCCGAATTCGCGCCAGCGTAGCAATCTCCGACGAAAACGCCGCCGCAGAAAATTTCTCCGACGACCTGAACTTTTTCACCGCGATGGATAATCCCGTCGCCGGCAAGTTCACCTTGTAAACGACGCCGGATCGCCCGTGTCCAATGACGTTGCCAGCAAAGAGGCATTTTGCTACGTCAGACATTGACAAGTCGAGCTTCTGGTACAGGGTCACCTCCCAAGGTGGGGTCATGTCTACGTCGCTATCCTTTCCATCGAGGTCAACGTCGTTTTCTTTGTCCCTTCGTCGTTTTGCCGCCACGACGACGTACAGCGCCGCCATGAGGAGCACGCACGCGGTGCACAGCAGGACCACCATTGCCACTCGCGCCTGCCTCGCACGCCGCCCGGATTTCCCGTAGCCTTCGCCGGCGCATTGATTGCCGGTCAAGCATAGCGACGGGTTCCCGGCGAGCACGCTCAGGGGCAGCTTCGCGAAGAAAGGCGTGTCCGGAACGCGCCCGGAGAATTTGTTGTACGAGATATTGAGGACCACGAGATTTTGCAGACCGGCGAGATACTGCAGGTTTCCGGCGAGAAAGTTGTGGGATATGTCCAAGACTCCGAGCTTCTCCAAACCCGAAAAATCCTGAGGGATCTCGCCGGAGAGTTGGTTCCAGCTAAGATTCATAGCTATCTCTAAGGCCGGAATGTTGCCGATGCTACCTGGAATTTCGCCGGAGAACTGGTTGCAGCTGAGGTCTAGCAGCTGCAGCTTGACACAAGATCCGAGTTGACTCGGAATTGAGCCTGAGATCCGATTCTTTCCGAGAACCAGTTTGGTTAGAGCAGCAAGAGAGCCGAGGGTAGGGCTCAGTGTGCCTTCGATCATGTTATCGGAGAAATCGAGGAATTGAAGCGAGACGAGCAGGCTCAGACTTTCCGGCAAGTTTCCGGCAATGAAGTTTGAATGTAAGTCCAAAAAAGTGAGATTCCGGCTGCCGGATATCTCCTCCGGGATAACTCCTGAAATCCGATTGCTTCCAAGGTCCAAGAAATTCAAATTTTTGAGATTCCCAATCTGGGAGGGAATGTTGCCGGTGATGTTGTTGTTGTTTGCCCGGAAGCGAATAAGAGAGGAACAATTCCCAATCTCAGAGGGGATTTTCCCAGAGAGATTGTTAGAGAGAAGCAAAAGCTTGTTGAGATTCTTGAGCTGGAATATCCCCTTTGGTATGGGACCCGTCAATCCATTCTGCGAGAGATCAAGAGCCTCTAGGTTTTGACAATTGGAAAGGGACGAGGGTATGGTACCTTGTAACTTGTTGTGCCACAGGAACAACAACGTTAGATTCCCAAGGTTTCCAAATTCGGAAGGTATCGTCCCCATGATTAGATTGTTGTCCAGCTCCACGTGAGTGAGTTGCTCACAGTTTCCTAGTTCTTCCGGAATCTCACCCGAAATCTGGTTGACACTGAGTTGGAGTTCTTGTAGCGAAGTCAAGTTCCCAAAACTTTTGGGAATGCTTCCGGTTATTGAATTCATTGACACGTCAATGACTGATAACTGGTTGCAGTTTCCAATCTCTGGTGGGATGGTGCCAACTAAATTGTTTTGCCAGAGAAGAAGGTTCTTGAGGTTGCTGAGATTCCCCAATTTGGTTGGTATGGATCCAGTGAGGGAGTTCTCGTAAAGATAAATGTTTTGGAGCTCGGTGCAGTCACCAAGTTCAGGGGGTATTTGGCCAGAGAGGAGGGAAGTGTAAATGGCTATGGTTTCAAGCTTCTTGAGGAGGCCAAGAGTTGGTGGAAGAAAACCCGAGATGCTTGTTTCAGCCAGGCCCAACATGACCAAATTGGAACAGTTGCCAATTTCTTGTGGTAAAGGACCTTCAAGGTTCTTGTTTCCTCCAGCTCTTATCACTTGCAGGTTCCTCAGGTTGCCTATGGTGCTAGGAATTTGACCACTCAGTTGATTGTCATATAAGGTCAGCTTCTTCAACTTTGTGAGGTTCCCAATTTCAACTGGAATCGACCCCACGAGCTCGTTGGAATTCAGATGGAGTTCCTCAAGTTTGGGCAAGTAGCAGAGCTCACTTGGGATTTCGCCACTCAAGGCATTGTCACTCAACTCCAAGTAGCTGAGTTCGCCAAGTTTGCCTATTTCTTTTGGGATTGAACCGGTGAGGTTTGTTCCGGTTAAGATGAGATTGCTCAAGGAAAGCAATGAGTTGAAATTAGTAGGAAGTTTACCAAGCAAATCCACATACCTCAGATCTAATTCTACTACTTCGTTGTTCGAGTTGCAACTCACTCCAAACCAGCTACATGGTGTATCTTCAATTGGGTTCCAGTTACTCAATACCTCCAGGGATCCATTCAGGGTTCTCTTCCATGAAAGAAGAGCTTCCCCTTGTTGGTTTACTGCAAGAGCTGTAAAAGAATGGTATGGAAGTAAAAGGGAAATGCATAAGAAGAAGAGGGTCCATGGATTTACAGGCATTACAACTATGCTACAAACTCCAATGAAAGAACACACACGCAAAGGTTTGAGCCTAGGGAGGAACAACGGGAAGGAACCAAATCATGTCTTGTGGGCTACTGCGTTTATTAAAAAAGAGTTACATACGGATTAAAATACCCAGAATCTCCGGATCCAAGAAACAGCTAGGCCACGATGTTTCTGCAGAGAAAAATGGAATTTTAGAATTTAGATGGTTGTTTATAAGTACTTGTTTATGTTGAAGTGGAGTGCAGTGATGGGGAGAAGGATTATAACAGTTATTAAATTTGAGAGTGAGCAACAAAGATGGGTGGGTGAGTGCCTTTCTTTCTAAATTTTGTTTTTTGTTTTAATATCAACTGTTTATCTTTTGATGTGGCCTCGTTATAAAATAAGCTTTCATTTTCTCTTGGATTTTTTTCATAAGATGGATGAGACGAATTGTATCCTGAAATTATGGGCAAGTGCATTTGTCTGCTATGACACATTCTGCCAAGGGCCAACTAGTTTTGAGTCTGACTCCATTTTGTATTGAATGGTAATGGAATTAGATCTAAACATAAGCCTAATCAGATTTAACCGCTAACTTTTCAGGCTTAGGCTATTGATGCATCATCTTAACCTCTTAATGATGGCAAAAAAAAATATGGTTTTCATGTGATACTGACATATTTGATACTCTTCTTAAAACAGTAATTAGAGTTTTGTCTGTCACATCATGTTAAAGTTAATATTTTTATTATTTTTATTTACCTATCTATTTAATCTTCTTATCTTTATTATCTTTTTATCACCGATGATTATATTTAAATCAACAGAAATAAACAATTGGTATAATTAGTTGCAAAAAATATAGAGATAAATAAAGATTGTTGATTTAAATATAATCAATGGTGATAAAAAGGTAGTAATGGTAGGAAGATTAAATAGATAGGTAATATAATCATTCCTTTTATCTTATTGGGAAGATTATATTTATTATCTTTTTTACTTACTATCTCTTATTGTTAAATTTTAACCGTTCCGTCAATCTAATATTTATAATTTATTGGGTCACACTTATTAATTAATTATTAATTTTCAATAAATTATAATCTTTAGATTGACGGAAATTAACGATTAAGATTTGGTAATAAGAAAAAAAAAATGTAATAAATATAACATCTCCCTATATTACTTCAAAAAAAAAATTTAATTTCTTTCACTTTTCTTTTACTTATTGGATTTCCCATTTCTTTTTTAAGAGTATTTTAAAATAAATATCTTAGAGTAAATATCTTTTTTGATCTCCCTAGTAAATAAAAAGGCTATTCGTGGTTCTTAAGAAATTCAAAATAGACTCATTTAGTTGAAATTGTGGTTTCTCACAAATTCAAAAAAGACCCACATTAGTCCCTCAAAAAGACTAAAATGAGTTCACTTTGAATTTCTTAAGAACCATGAATAACATTTTTATTTGTTAGTGATTAAAGCGGACATTATAAAATTTGGGAATTACCGAAAAAAATATTTACTGAATATCTTATATTCACTCCGGGATCTTAACTGCTAGTGCTAATTGTATCCAAAAAAAAATTGCTAGCGCTAACGTTGCTCAAATAGAACTAGCTAACGTATTCCATAATAAATTGTTTTGTTTTTTCCCTTCTATTTTGAGTTAGGCTAGCGGTGGTAGCAAGCCAAAGCGGTGCATGAATCAGAATAAAGTTTTGCCTTCTTTTAAGAGGGGAAAGCAAAGAGGCCCAGAACCTGTTCAATAATTTATGTCCAAAATAACCCTTTCACATGTTTTGTAAAACTGCGAAATTTTGTAGCAGAACATTAAAAGGAAAATGAAATTTTCAAATAATGGGTCTGCTATGCCTTGATCTCTATCAGATTTGAATTTATTTACTATATGTTCTTGTGTGGACTTGAGTTTTAGACACTCGTGTGATTCAGATAAGTTGCCCCGATTTAACCTGTCAAGAATTTAACCTTGGATCTGAACCATACTAGAAATTTCAGGCCACGAGGGCATTCTTATTTCTCAGCCATACAAAACCTGCTCCATTTTGCAAAATGTGTTCATACATGATGCGATCTATGACACTGTCCAATTGTCCTGAGAATCTCATATTATTTAATTAAAATCAAAGCCATCTAAATACAAACCAATAGCATCGCTCAGAATTTGATACTTAGCAATGACCAGACTAATCATCCCGAACGTTCAAGAATCATATAATTCTCTTAAGAGCCCTTGTTGTGACCCACAAAATCATTATATCCATTTTTTTATTGGATACAATGAAAATTAAACACGTAACTTAATATAACTTACTCAAATCCCTCACTATTTTAGTGACTTATATATCCATTTTTTTAAAATATTAGTTTGAATCGCATTATTAAGGTTTAATTCTATTTTCATGTCTTAAAAAGAATTTTTTTAAAAAAATGTAAGCTGTCACGTGATGTCGCGTGACAAGAAGGGCGTTTGGTACAGGAGAAATTTTTATTTGTCCGGGAATCTCAAATTTCAAAAATATGATTTTTACATTCAGTTTACGATAATATCCGAAAATTTAAAATTTAAAAAAATTCAGTTTCCCGGGAATCCTACAAAATACCGCATACCGAATATGGATCATTTAATTTGGATTTTGGTTTTTGGTTGACACCTAGCGATTTAGTCACATAGATTTACAGATATACTATGCCTACCCTCGTGATCATGCTGGGGTTCGAGAATATTATACTCAAAAATTATTTGACAAGTGCGTCCATTGGGAATCTAGGCACGAGCTAGCTGATAGAGGGGGCACATGAGAGAGAATTCTAGTCGTTAAAAGGCCAAGCCAGCCATAGCGTACGACAGCTTTATGTAATGCATATATCAGAATGCTTCAAGTTGTGTGTTGCAAAAAACAAAAAACATAGATAGCCCACACCTTAAACTTTTATTTTCGTTCTTTGTTATCATTAACCTCTAAATAGGTTACTCCTTACTACTACTACACCTAATTTTTGCGACAAGGCCAACCTCTAAAATTTGGTGAATTTTTTTGAGGGTGTGGCCAAATAAATGATTGGAGGGCGATGATAGGCACTAAGCTAAGGTAGGAAGCAAAATGGGGTTCCATTTATTGCACAAGGAATAAGTAATAACTCTTTGGTTTGAAAATATAAGGGTTTGATTCTGTTTGTCGCACACGGATGGGACCTTTATCAACTGCATGCTTTTCTGGTTCGGGACCTCAAATTCGCAAAGGGTTGAACCCAGCGAAATGATAAGTCATTTTCTTAGTCACTTCATAGGTGTAACGGTTTCAGTAGTCTTATCGGTTAAGGGTTTTCTATGATGGAAACAAGAGAATTAAGGAGAGCGATTGATTTCGTGGAAGAAAAAATTAAAAACTTGGGTCTATAATTCATAAGGGATTTTTAACCTCTCGTTAGAAGTTCACTTATCAATTAGTATGGTATATTAGTTTAGTTTATTTTTTGAAAATAAAATGTTCGAGAAAGGACTTTTTGGAAGAATTTTTATCACTTACAATAAAATAATGTAAACACGTATCTTAATTCTTAAGAATCAAAAGGGTTTCTTCCCTGTGTCTTGAACTCAAGATAAAATCGTGTTCTCTTTAGCTTTTATTATGATTACTCGACTATTCCATTAAAATCGGGTAGAATTATAAGAGTGACCAAGCCTTTCTTATCAAGTTTTAATATAAATCAAAAATATATATATAACTGCGTTTTTAAAAATTGAAACTGCTAATTAAATTAGAACAATTTTTTACTAGTTGATTTGGGTCATAATTCTTTTTTACATCATCAATAAATATACTTATATTTGTGTTCGAATAACTAACAACACAAGTTGACTATAGAAAGTTAGAGAAAATAAGTCATTTCGATCCATTATAATTAAAGAAGAAAATAAAATTAAGGGGGACCGGGTTTTCCTCGAGAGCACTTATTTTTCAGATTTTCTTTATTTTCATTCTATTATGTTCCAAAAGAGAAATTATATTATATATATATGAAACGAAAAAATCGTTAAAAAGATATTTCCATTATTTTCATTCTCACATATTTCAAAAGATAAATTAAATTATTTTATGTAGGGGGACACATCATGTCATCTTGGTTGATGTGGTATCCTTTTCTATTTAAAGGTCGCAAACACCTTTAGTCGTTTTGCTTTTGTTGTTTTTGGATGCTTTGCGAATATTCATTTCTAAAACTTTTATAGGGTTTGCAACTTCTGCACTAACCGCAGAAGTTGAAAATATACAGCAGAAAGAAAGAAAAAAAATAGTGTCTATTGATATTTTTTTTTTTTTTTGAATAAGCGGCAAGAAAAAATATTTCTGCATCGACAGAAGAAGTATTTTTCTCTTTTTTATATCCCATTTTCACTAAAAAACAGATAAAGCAGGTCCACTGACGAAGCTATATTGGTAAATTCCTAATATTAGTGATCATGTTCTCCTATAGTCCAAATAATTATTCATTATTGTACCAAAAAGAAATACAAGTTAAATGATGCGAGCGTCAAAATTGTTCGATCGTTCTTGTTACCCTGCGTGGTAGTAGAAAGGACAAAAAGTTTCTGCCATAAATATCATGTAACATATGTTTCTTATATTCCATGACGTAAAATTATGTAATGCACACATAAAAAATTGATGAAATTAAATTTTTTTCTTTCTCTCTTTTCTTTAATAAATTCTATCAACTTTTATAGGTTTTGTATGAGATAAAATTATCTCATGTAAAATAAGAAATATATTGTCTAAATGTCATATGTATTAATTATGGATTTAGTGTTTCTCATGTTATAGGACATAAAAATATTTTATCTCCTTCACACTCATAAAAGTGTGTGGATCCATGTGAAGAAAATATAGAGAAAAAAATATAGGTCTGACACACTTTTATATATATAGGTACGCTTTTTCTACGGTCAATATAGATAGCTTATCTACATTGAACTCAAAATGACGTCT